GACATCATAAATCATGATGCACATGCCACATTAACAAACTTGCCCACTAACCAGGAAACATATCTCAAGCAATCATCAAAACATGCTGAATAGAGGACAAACTTAGAATGTATTCACAGTGATAAGTTGAAAACCAGGTCTCCTATATACAACATACATCCACAGCAAGACACTGGAAATCATGAGTTAGACTCACCCTATGGGACTCCAACCTCAGGGCTCAGCCATTTACACTAGCTAATCAGAGAGACACAGTCAGTCTGATTACGGTTGTGAATCTACTTATACATGATCTGAGGAAGGACACTAACAGACTCTCCAATTTACCTATGACCCATTTTATTCTTAACAGAACTGTCTAATGAGAGAGCAACAGTCCCAGGGATAAGTTAATTTTACTCCATAAATATGGAGCAGTGAATGAAAACTGGTACTCTCCCTGAACAGATTTGTTGAAGTCTTTTTGCTTTTTCGTTCTTGATTACTGCAATAGGTGGGATGATTTTGAATGTGGTGATGGCCTCCTCAATCATGTCCCATATCTGCTGTTCCCCCAACCCAGTTTGAATTATGGCCAGCCCTCTTTTCACTTGGGGAAAATTAGAGTGATCTTCTACATGTGCTCACCATATTTATTCTGTTGTCATAGACAAAAGATATTTAAGTTCCGTTATTCTGTTGTCATAGTTTCTAGTTCTCTCTGCCTGAGCCAACAGTTATTCTCCCCTAAATTCTATGCCTTTTTGTGGGCAGAGGCATCTCTTGTTTTTTTAGGGGAAGGACTGGGAGTAGGGTTTGGTGTGTGCATTTTTTTCATGAAGGGACTAGGATCTCTGCTAAGCATGATAGTTTTGCAGGTGGGGAGGAGACTGTAGATTATGATTTGTGCTGTGATCTTGCTACAGGGGTGGACAGGGTAGAGGTCAAGGAATGTGATGCCATTTTGGAAGGTGATGAATTATGAAAGATTAGTTTCTCTAATTTGACTTTTAAGATTCTTAATCCTTTTCATTTTTTCATTGCTTGGGTCATATTTCCCTTGAAATTTCTCAAATGATATTTTCTCTAAGACTGGAACGTTGCTCTTTATCCTAGTAGAGGGAGTTGGGCTGTGTGTACTTTTATCCCCATGATCTTCAGGTGACTGAGGCTTCACTGTCTGATGCTTCCCTCTGACCCTGCCAGCAACCAGACATTCCTCTTTTCCTACTCATCAACTGCACAAGTGGTCGGCAAAGTTTTTTTGAGGAATGTGGGTCATGAATAGGAACCAACTGAGGGGTTTACCGCTCTGGCCCCAATTGCTGATATGCCCATAACAGGTGAGGTAGAAATAACAGACTCAGCCAGATTTGTGACCAGTTTCTCAACATTTCCGACATGTTGGTTTTTGGCCAGTCACTATGACCGACATTTTCAAGACTGCTATATTGAGACAGTTGGGAATGGAGAGGAAGGCTTACCAATCAAGCATGACATAAAAAATCTATCCCCTGTTCAAGCTATCAAAGGTTGCACCCAGTATCTATTCGGCAGATACATGGCCAAATGCACCCTGATAAAGTGAGGAGGAACCTCAAATATTACTACTTTGGTCTGACAGTATTCTTTGTATTAGGTTCGAATAATCAGATCTTTTGTTATTAATTCCCAATTTGCAGTCATTATGCAGTCTTCAGGCATGGGTAGCAATATGTCATACATTTTTGTGGTTTAACCCCCAGGGATACCAGTTATTTAACCACTGTCTCTTTCATGAAGTGACAAATTTTGCATGAATGCTTGTCCACCACGAAGACAAACATGATTTTTTCTCATCCCTCTTTAGTTCTTGTGGGGTCCACCTTCTTTTACAAGGTATGCATAACTCTTGAACCTTTCTAAAAATTTCACAATGTTGATTATTCATTTAGCAGTGGTGGGATTTTCAACAAGAGGGCAAATCCCCAGCCCTAGTATTGTTAATAATCTTCTCCTTATTTTGAGATGCTTTTTTTTTTCCATACATTCTTGGTCTTTGGTAATTTGACTATTATTGGCTTCCATACTCTTAATTTCTTCAATTTTGTGCAAGTTTATTTCATCCTACAAAACAAAGATTTTCATTGATCTTTATTTTTCCTTTATCTGGTGGTCCCAAATAACTCTTTTTTAATAGTAGAGAAAAAGATTTTGGAAATTTTGGTTTTTGAGAATTTTTTTTCAAAATTTTTCTTTAGAGGGCATGTATATGTATGTTTTTTCCTCCAGGCGAAAAAAGAGTCTGTGTGTTTTGTTTTTTTTTCTATTTTAGTAAAAGTAAACAAAAAAAAACGAAAAAGGCAAATAAAAAATCAAAACAAATTAAAATATCTTCTACATATTAAGGTTTGATGATTGGAAATAAAGAATTTACTTTAAAGCCATAAACAATAAAACAACAAAAGGTGGGGGTATTTAAAAAAAAAACAAGTAAAAATAAAATCAAGACAAAATATTTAAAAACTGAAAAAAAATTAAATCAAATACAAATGTGGCAAAAAGGTTTGCATAAAATGAAAAGAAAATGGCTGAAATAAAATGAAACAATAGAAAGAAATTTAACAAAAGTCTAGAATAAAAATTAAGCTGGAAAATAAAATTCACAGACTGGGCTTAAAGCTGGTGTGGGTTTGAAAAATAAGGAAAAAATAAACAATTACAACAAAATTTAAAACAAAAAAGAAAAAAATAAATCAAAATACTAGTGCAAAAATAAAAAGACGTTACACTAGAAAAAGAAGAAATAAAAGAAAAACTGAAAATGAAAACCAACTACAAAAATTGCCATAAATACAGTTAATGTTAAATTAAATGCAATCAAAAATAACTTAACTTCAGAGTTTTTGGTAGTCTTTGAAAAATAAAAAGAATGTGAATTCAAAACAGAAATGCAAAACCATCAGAGTAAGTACACTTCTAGAGAAAAACAACTACATGGGCTGAACCAGCAGGGGTGACAGGTTAATTCAGCAAAGCATTAGTTTTTATAACCAAGAGGATGTAAGTTCAATCCCTATGTGGGGTAACAAATATTGTCCATAGATTAGAACTTAACACACCTGATAAGAGTTTTATTGTAGGCTAATGATACAGACTTTGTAGAACGCTTGGAAGAAGATTTGCAACTCATAATGGATCATTTCTCTGCTACTTGGTAAGCTTTTGGATTGAGGATAAGCATGAGGGAGACAAAAGTGATGTTCACTTCCCCACTTGGTGTGCACTACAAAGAACCAAGTATAATTGTAAAAAGTATCAGGCTGGAGGTTGTTGACCCTTTCCCATATATTGGAATGCTGGCCTGGATGAGGAGATATTTTTCACATATTCAAAAGGCAAGTGTTGCCCTTTGTAAGTTGTAAAATTAAGTGGGGGTCACATAGAGTAAAGTAAGTGTGTATACAGCCTGTGTCTTAATGTCCATGTTGTATATTTTGGAAATATAAACACCATATTGAAGGCATATAAAATGGCTTGATTCCACTAAAAATGCCCAAGATGCAGTCTTTGATTTCATTCAGTGTAGTTCTCCAAAGATCTGAATGCAACAGCATTGAAATAGTAATAATCTTCCAACAGATGCCATGGACAAGATATTTTTTTAGAATGCAGAATAAGAGGAAGACAGGAAAGTGTCCATAGCACAAGCCTAGGAAGAGATTTGAAGATAATCTGAAGGATAATTTGAATGCATTGCATATAGGTGTGTAGCATTGGGAAGAACTGACTTTAAATCATAGGGGAGGAGTTTTATTAGGGAGGGATGCAACACCTTTGAGGATAAATGTCTCAGGCATGCTCAGATCATGAATGATCTTTGAAGAGCCACTCACTCTGATTTGCCAATTCTTATGAAGTCTTGGAAAGGTAAGGTGTGAGCACATGCTGTTGCCGATTGCAGCTTATGTAAACCATCTAAAAGGTTATCATAAAAGCAAGGGCAAGCCAATTATGCCAACAAGCCTCATCATCATGTCACCAATTCCTGTGTTGTTTGCAGATCACCATCTGGACTGAGGTAGCACATAGTGGGGCACAGAGTTGTAGGCCATGCAGATCCAATCAACCCAATCAAGGCTACAGAGTTTATCTGTCATATATGCCTGATACCTATGAATTTGAATACTGGACTCCAGAGTCATTTTAGGGGTTATGGATATGGTAACAAGATGGAAACCTTCATAAATGATGTGAGTGGTGAGGGAATTGGTTTACTTCTCAGTAAGATATGGCAATCATCATATATATATATATATATATATATATATATATATATATATAAACACATACATACATACATATATATATATATATATATATGTATACATGTGTGTGCATGTGTGTGTGTGTATGCATGTATGTATGTCTCCATAAAGGAATATATTTATCTCTCACAAATGCTTTTGTTGCTATGAACTGCTTCTTACAGTAATCTCCAATGCCAAATAAATAAATAAATTCATTTTTCTCTATTTTTTTCTCCATATATATATATGGCCTGTTGCCATACAAATTTCAAACTCATATACACTTACCTTTCATGAAATGAAAAACAATCTTTTCAGGATTTTTGATTATTTAACCCAAAGAACAGCAAGAGGCAGAAAGAAATTTTGAAGAAGATATCTTTATAATTTCTTGCAAGGAATTTGCCAAAATTTTATCAATAAAGAAGAGACAACAAAAATAATATTCTCTCTAAAAAGAAAAAAAAATTAAAATCAAAAACCAACAAGATTATAATTCTTGTTTTAAATCTTGAAAGATTTGGTCAGATGTTTTGTAGAAGAATTTTTTAAATATTTTTTTGTTATCGTCTGTCAGTTTTGAAAATTGTACTTTTGGTGTGAAAAGTCAGTTAAAAATGCTGTTAAAAATGAGATAAAACTGAAACCTAAAAAGAAACTGAAAAATAGACTTTTATCTTTTCATATTTGTTTTGTTGCCACTTTGTTGTTTGAAATATTATCTTGATTAGAATGTTGTTGACTTGTAAGTATTTATTTTATTTACCTGCTAGAAAAAATATTGGGCAATTTTCCAAACTATATATAAAGGTGATGTACATCTGTTGTCAACAAAGGAAATAAAATTATCATTTGAGTTGTCTTTGAACAGAAACAAATATTTTCTTCAGAGGAAAAGGAAATGTGTGAATTGATTACAAAACTGTATTCTAATCACCAAAGTTTAGAGAAGTTGCTGACTCAGTCTCTTTTTCTAGACCGATTTATTAGCATTCTATCTATCTATCTATCTATCTATCTATCTATCTATCATCACAGTCTGTACATGTCTATCTGTCTATCTCAGTCTGTTCATATCTATCTATCTATCTATCTATCTATCTATCTATCTATCTATCTATTTATTTGACTGTTCATATCTATCTATCTATCTATCTATCTATCTATCTATCTATTTCAGCCTGTTCATATCTATCTCAGTCTGTTCATATCTATCTATCTATCTATCTATCTATCTATCTATCTATTTCAGACTGTTCATATCTATCTATCTCAGTCTGTTCATATCTATCTATCTATCTATCTATCTATCTATCTATTTTAGCCTGTTCATATCTATCTCAGTCTGTTCATATCTATCTATCTATCTATCTATCTATCTATCTATCTATTTCAGCCTGTTTATATCTATCTATTTCAGCCTGTTCATATCTGTATCTATCTTAGCCTGTTCATATCTATCTATCTATCTATCTATCTATCTATCTATCTATCTATCTATCTATTTCAGCCTGTTCATATCTATCTATCTATCTATCTATCTATCTATCTATCTATCTATCTATCTATTTCAGTCTGTTCATATCTATCCCAGCCAAGATACTTACCTACCAACAGTGGTGAAGGTTCATACCACTACTTTACACACTCAAGGCCATACTTTCTACGCAGTAATCTCCTACTTTATCTGTACTCATTTTAGTGCCATCTCTGTGCAGCCACAGAAAATGTTGTACCTAATTTCAGTAGCTTTCCCACACAGCCTGCACAATGGAAAAGCAGCTGTTCCATCAATAGTGTACTTGATGGAATGCACAGATCATCCCTTCAGTTTCCTTCTTCTCAAACCCTTTCTCAGGGGCACCTCCATGATTATGGAGCTGTCACCTCTTGGGTTTTTATGCCCATGCTTGTAAGTACTCCTGCAAGGACTTACACTCTTCTACTTCTATCAAATCTCTTCCACCCTCTTTTCAGAGGTGGGTAAAGCCTAGCCACATTACCCCCACTTTGTTAGCACCTGTTCATGATCATTATCTATCTTGTCTTTCAGTCTATGTTTACTCTTTTCTCTTTGATCCATTCAACAATACCTGCATCATCCCTTACAACACCAATGTCCAAACCAACCTTTACAGGTTTATATATCTGGTGGGATTCCTTCTGCTCTAAACAGTTGAAAATCAATTGGAGTAAAATCTTGGATTATCAGCCCTTTGGTCATATGCCCAGAAACTAAATTAGAATCTGAAAATTGAATTCATTGGAAGGTTTTGAATGATAAAGGTTAACCTTTCGACATTGTGGAGTCTAGCATTAGGGAAAATGTAACATTTTGTAAGCCTAGGTTAATTTATGCTTACCATGGATTGGTGAGGTGAATACAAGATTTGCTAAGTAAATTTCAGTTGGTGTAAGAAGCTGTTATTCTTTCAACAATCCACATATTGTTTTTGGTGCCAGACCTATGCTGAGACTGATCCAGAAGGATCTTCTGCTTATCCATCATATTTAATTTATAAAATCAGATGTCCATGTGATGCTGACTATCATGGAAGAATGTGTCAAAGGTTGGGAGCCCAGATCAACCAGCCAATATTCAGAGGGAAAGGTGAACATTTTACATAGGTCTCTTAGTGTATTAGGTTCTGCTCTAACATTTGATTAAACCCAGCAGTGTGCCTGGTCTTATAAGCTGATCATGTTTTCAATGCTGCATTAGGCTAATACTGAATATCAATTTGCTGTCTATGTAGATAGAATTGGTTGGAAGCATAGATCAAGCGCAAAATTGACAATTTGGAAATAACTGAATATTTGATAAAAATCAGTAATGTACCTGATCTGAAAACCAAGACATGCTTACAGTATTGATCAAGGCTAATGCTGAGTTTCATTTGAATGTTGGAATCTGTTTATATTAACTCCTACCAGCTGATTGGTGGATTTAAATGTAATTAGCCTTTAATGTTAATTTTTTTTCATATAACCCTGGTCTGGATTTGTATAATTTTTAGTTGCTGTGCACATTTTTTGTTCTCAATTTTTTATCTGATGAGAGAGGACTGATAAACTGGTTTTGTTGATTTGATTGTTATTATATTTCCATATTACCATTATATCATAACATAGATTTTTTGTTATCCCATTTTTGTGATGAATTGCTTCCTTTGTTGCAATGTGCATAGTAATATATTTGCTTTTAACACTTTTAAAGCTTACTTCTTTCTCACTTAAAAGAAATATACAAATGACAAATTCTTCATTTTGACATCAAAATAAAGCCACAATTTCTCAATGAGAATTGTATTTCTAAAGCCAAGTCCGAATCACAAAGAATGAAGCAATCTTCTTCGAGAGTAGAAGCTCTAAAGAAGACTTTCATAATAATATATTAACCATTAAATCTGTTTAATTTTGCAATTACTGTTAACAAGAAATAGTTTGGGGTATGTATGTATTTATATAATGTTTTCATTTTCAAAACATGGTCAAGATATTGTGTCCATGTTCATTTGTTGTTAACAGTTAATATATTTCAACTTTGAAAATTGGTAAATGTATAGCTGAAAGTGCTTGGATAAAAAGAACAGTTGGACAGTTTTTATATAATTTATCATCCGAAAAGAAAAAAAATTATTAGATCACATGAGAAATTGTACAAAAAACTAAAGCAAAGCACTTTGTCTGTCATATTCAATGAAATGTGCATGAAAGAAGTATTGCTGCCTAAATACACAAGTATATATATATATATATATATATAGTAATGATACAATACGGTAATCCATATGGAATTTCCAGGATATATATCCAGGGAGTGCTCTGTGTCAAAAGACAGAGGAAAATTATTTAAAAAATAATTATTAATAATAATAATTTGTCAGATTGTTTGGATGTCAATTTGAGGACATCGCAGATGATATGGAAAGAGATGAGTTTAATGGTGATTACAAAGGTACAGCAGCTTGGAAAACTCACTCAGATTGTTCTAATCAGAAAAAAAAACACCTGAATTTGTTGGTGATAGCCTCAGACTCAATATGGAGACCTATATTAAGTGCTTTGAGGTGGTAGTGCTGCCCTGGGTCAAGAGGGTGGCTGGTGGAAGACTCTGTCTGCCAAGAGGGATCTACACTATGCCACACAAGAGAACACAAACATTGCTGTTAGACAATTTTGATGATCACATTACCCATTGCATCTGGCCACACAACTCTCCAGACTGCAACCCCCTTTGATTTTTATTTGTAGGGCACAGTTGAGAGAGAGACCAACAAAACTCCTTGTAACCCCAGAGATGAACTGAGGGCAAGGATTATGGCAGCATTCATCAATTTAAACAAGGAGTCTGTCCAGAAGAGTTGCAGGAGATTCTGAAGTTGTCTGAAGGAAGTGGTTGAAGCCAATGGCGACTTTATTGAATAGGTTTACTCTTTGGTATTTCAAGATATTTTTGTGCAGTTTTGGCAAATATATCTGTTAAAATGTTTCTATTTTTGCATAATTCAGATGACAATTTATCCATTGTACCCAACATATATATATATATATATATATATATATATATATATATATATATATAATGGACATTCCAGTTGGTTTTGACATATGAAGATCTGGCAACTTAATTGATTCAGTTATGAAATTTTGTGCGATAATCTTGAGTGGCACTTAGGACCCACTAGTGATTTACAAAGGAGGTTGCATATGGAGCAAGAGTAAGGATTGTGGGATGAGATCACTGTTAGATTGGATGACCTTTTAGATCTTGCTCTCACTTCTTGAAGACGATTCAGGCAAGCTGATTGAAAACTGCTGAGTCCACTAAAAAATGTTTACCTCCATTCTACCCACTCCAAGGCTAAGCACTCAAGGGTGTTATGAGGTATATATATGACTTGTAACAATTTTATGGGACTTTTCAATACAATATATATAGGTATGGGTAAGATAAAAAATATACATACATACACATATACTTGTATGTATGTATAGATATATTTTTTCACAGGTGTTATAAATATGTAACAAAGCACTGGATATTATGTATATTCACTAATATATATATATATATATATATATATATATAATTTAATCAAAGATGTTTTTTGTGGGGGGCTGAAAGTTCCATTAGTATTTTTGATAACTGTTAATTTAAAAAAAACGTTTTCCTTTTCCTTCTGATTCCCAACCAGAGACCTAAGATCATTTTCCGCAGATCATTTTTGTAAAACAACAAGCAAAAAAAAAGCTAACATCACACACATTTTAAATAGATAAAGCTCTTCATAATATGTGAGCTGTATTTATGAGTAAAATGTTTTAGATTTCTTTAAGGTATGGGCTACGAAGAATCCCTTTATTGAATCTATTAGAACCTCTTCCAATCAATCAGAGTGCTCCAACTACAATTGAAATTATTGATGTCATATTGTGCCATATTTTTGATATTTCTACTTCAAGATCTTTGTATTTTAATAATTTTTGAAGACCCTCAACGATACATTTCAATCAGCAGGGACTGTCTTGTCAACAAGAAAGCACATTCGGTTTTTTGTGGTCTTTGTCAGGGCGATTACCTTTGATTGTTCTGTCTGTGTGTATTGTAAAGTCCCATAAACTTATTACATGTCCTATCTCTGTAATTGGGTTTGGGTAGTGTTCATACCAATTTCTTGCAGTTTTCTTTCCATAAAAGTGGCCTATTTTCCATTGTAGATATATGGGTCATCTTATCATGCCAAGGAAGGTTCTGCAAGGAAATTAATGGTAATAATGAGAACCACATAACTAGAATTACAAGGACACTTAATTGGGAAAGAGGTTTTGCAGAATTTAACACTTCACAGGACATATTGAAGGCAAGAAAAGCAAGAGAAGAAAGAGGAAACAGTAATTAAACTACTTAAGAAAAAAAGAGTGATTCTAAGGGAATATTTGGAATAATAAAATACAGGAAGTTTTAGAAAGCCATGATCACTGACATTTTGAAAATACATAGCATCTAAAAGAAAAACAGAATTGAGACTGGCATGCTTAAATAGATATTGAATGAAATTCATGGCCACATCAGGATATGAACAAAAAAACTTTAACATTTTTTGTAGACTATTTCAGCTAAATAGAAAACATTTCGGAAATGAGAAATTTGCTTCATGTTTCCATTCCGACTTTGTTGGATTTTCAAGAAGAAAAAAAATAGATTTGTTAATGGTTAGTTCATTGAATTTTCATTTGTCTTCTAAAATATAAATTGTTGAATACAAACCTTTATGTAAAGAAAGAAATATCTACTTTTGTTAATGCACACACACACACACACACACACAAACACATATATGTATGTGTATGCCTGCGTATATATATATATATATATATGTATATATATATATATATAATAGCTTCCAATATATTAGATGAGTATGAACACTTCTGAGAAGTTAAATCTATGGTGATGGTATAGAATTCTCTTAGACTGGTACCAACTATGAGCTATTAGCTTTAATCTATATCTGAGGGGAAAAGAGATGAATTCATAACTTTTTAAGGGTATTTGCACTCTTTGATATCTCATTCAAGAGGATATCCTTACACAAGCTGCATATTAACATGTGTGTATGAGTATATGTGTGTGTGTGAGTGTTTATATATGTCTGTATGTGCGTGAAAAAAGTGGACACTGAAGTCAATATCGAGTGGCAACAGTCTGTTTCATGCTTAAACAGAATCCCTGGGCTATGAAGATTGCATTCAAGCATGAAACAGCATGCGACGATATGATATGCATACACACATTTTCATCACAGCCAAAAATTAGGCCACCCTAAACTTCTTTTAAAAAAAACTTAAAGTTTTTGTATTTTTTAAAGTAAAAGGTAAAAATTAACTAACTGCAGTGGATTTGCTTTTATTTAGACAGAAAGTGTAAGCACATAACCATAACAATTATCATGGAACAGCATCATATTTTGTTTTCATTTTGTAGTTGGCACACCTTCCCAAGCATTCTTCACACACTAAAAAGATCACTCTCACTCTTTGTGTATTCTCTTTGAACTCTCTTATTCAGCAGTGATAGTGAGGTCAGAAGAGTGGTGCAACAAAATTATAATTACCAAAGATTTCTCCATTTTTTTTAACTTGAGTTTATTTTGATACAATTTAAAAGA